TAGTCAATCTGCAATTGGTAGGGCACAGAGTAATATGTATAATGGAAAGTCTAGGCATATCCGTCGTAGACATAATTCCATACGACAACTACTCTCGAATGGAGTTGTCTCTTTAGACTATGTAAAGTCTAAGGACAACATTGTGGATCCGCTAACCAAAGGGTTAAGTCGAGTGTTAGTCGAAACGTCATCAAAAGGAATGTGGTTGAGGCCTTTGGAAGTTACCGGAATGGAAACCCAACCTAGTTGACTGGAGATCCCAAGATCTAGGTTCAATGGGACAACCTAATTGCGTGTAACGGTGGTATGTCACTGAGGAGGTTAAACCTCCAGCCATTCCTTCTATCAGTGATACCTGCAAGTGTAGAGGTTAAGCTGAGCTTTTAATGACTCTAGTGTGTTAAGCTGTTGAGTTGAGTATTGCAGGATACTCAAGTAGAGTCACCTATGTGAGTGTGAAGTGGGGCCGCTTCTAGAAGAATTGGGCAGGCCAAGATTCTTTGAAACTACTCGCTAAACCAGGCTAGTGTCCAGGGCCACACAGGGCACACCAGTGAGAACAGAATGGTGGTAGGAGTAATTCCCGCTTGAGATCTATTGTCTCAGTTTACATAAACGGCAGAGTAGTTCAAGATGTCTTATTCACTGATCAGCCAGTAAACTCGATAGGTTTTCACTAGGAGAGGTTCAAAGCCAAAAGCTACATTCTCTGATGTCGGGGTTAGTTCGTTGTACTCTCTCTTCGAGTCATTATTGTTGAACGATGTTCGTTTATTGAGTCTTTCGGTCAATTTTTATTCATGTGTGGGATTGTTGGAAAAAATGATTTTTGGTGACTTTAATTGAATATTAAAGTGTGGTGACTTTAATTAAATATTAAAGTGGGTCCCAATCTTTTATTGTGTTAGGTCCAAGTGAGCCAAAAACCATTGGGTTTTAAATAAGAAATTGCCAAGAAATTGCCTCATGATGTTAGATTCATGAATAGGATTTTAAAGAGTATTTAAATCCTTTTTCTTGGCTAAAGGATGTGAATTCTTTGGGCATCCAAACTTTCATATTTTTTGAAAGGGGCTATGGATGGTTGGTGTTTTAATGACCAGCCTTAAAGGCTGGAGGCTCTTCTTCTCTCCCCTTTACATGTATGAATTGAGACCCTCCTATCAAGTTTCAATATAGAAATTTTTTGCTTCCATTTTACAAGTCAGTTTGCTAGAAAGTTCCTGCATTGAGAGAGTGTTGCCACTGTTCTTGTTCGCTAAGCTAGACAGAAAGTGCTTCTGTCGTAGCTTGTTTTGACCGTCGTATCCTGGGAGACAGACGCCGGTTTCCTCAAGCACTCGACCCGTGAGGCGGCGAAATCTGTTTTAAGGAAACTGCTTCTGTGCAGGCTTCGGTTTCGTCTCTTTACCCTTTTATTGTTTTTTTTATTTTTGTTGAAATTTAATTGTAATTATCAGCATTTGTTCTTGGTATATAATTTGATTTCTTCATAAATCTATTTATTTAATTTCACAATTTGAACAACACTATGTGAGTTGGGAAAAAAAAAATTAGATGGATAATAAAATATAGATTTTACTCTTTACACAGTATAATCTAAACGTGTGTTAAATATGTGCTTAATTTCTATTTTAATCACCTTTTTTTATTGTTGAAATTTCTCATTTAATCTACAAAGCAAAGTCTAATGGCATGCAATTATTAAATTGTTGCATGTATATTAGTTAACAAAACTAAGCCCCGTTTCGCATGAGCATTTTTTGAGGTTGGGAGTTAATTTAGTCACAAAAGAAATAAAATAAGTTAAAAAATTAATAAGACAAAATATCGTACATAAATCATAATTATTTTACTTTTTTCTCTTACAAAAGTCAAAAAAACTAAAAAATTCAGCTCAAACGAACTTTTAGCCCCAAGCTAAATACTTAAAAAGCTAAAAAAATCAACTCACTTTCCAAAAAAAAACCTAAGAAAGGGATTTAAAAGTTCATAAATCACACATCTCCATTAAACTAGTCAGAATTTTGTTATATTTTGATTTAAAAATTTATTTTTTTCTATTTTAGCTATACACTTTTTTAAATATATTGTCCAACAAACTCTCTATTTTTTTTTTATATATTATTTTTATTAATTTTAATTGGAAAATTTGATAAAAACCCCTTCATTGGGCCATTCTTTAGTGAAAATGACAGTCTATAAATTTTTCTTTCATAAACCGCCCTCACCTAGAGGCCCATATAGGGGTGTGTGTCGTGCGGTTCGGGTGATTTGAGAGAAATTATAAATTGAACGGTGGATTAGTGAATTGACGGATTGACAAATTGCGGTTTGAGCGATTTTGAACGGATTGAAGAATATTCTAACTAATTATCAAGCATTTGCATAATATATAACACTAATTTGCATAATATTTTTCATATATATAACACAAATTAATTTTATATAATATTTTTCATATATATAACTACTAATTTGAAATAAATTTCACATATTAAATTTCTCTCACACTCATTTTTACTTTGATATTTCATTATAGGTTAAAAAATATATATGTATTAACTATAGCGGATCGAAACAGTTTTGAAAGCAGATTATAAATTTTAAAATTTAAACTGCGGTTAGCAGATAGAACAGTATGGATTAATGCAGATCAGTACAGTTTTAGCAAATGGGGTGATATTTTATACCGCCCTAAGCCCATACTTGATGGAGTACACAAAAACATTTTCTTATTTCCTTTTGGATAATCTTGCCCTTCCATATGTGCGTATGAGAGAGAGAGAGAGAGAGTAGAAAAAGTTATTGACGAAGGTGTTCATGTCGAGCAACCAGTTAGTTGTATTGATTTGAGCTAAGCTTGAGATGTCCATTGGAAAGCTCCAATTTGGGAATACCCTCAAGCATTTTCAATACTTTACTCCTGAGATTATCATTAGAAGGATCTAAAATTGTCTTCATCATTGAACATTGTTTTCTGATCGGCAAAACCAGTTCTTCAACATATCTAGCAAAGTTGATATATTAACAATGAGTTCATGAAAGTATTGGAAATCGTTTTGGTTTGCATAAGATGACCCATCTTGCTTTCGTTGGAACAATCTTCAATAAAAAATCTCAACTCTGCAAAACTATACACAATTAGTTCGTTCATTTAGTATGAATTCTATTTTTTGTAATAATAAAATTTTACTTTGGTTAACGACCATAGACTTTGATTGTTGATCTGCTTAACGACAGAAAATTTTACTCTGAATAACGTTGCGATTTTTCCTTACTCTAGTAATAATAGTAAAATTTTATTGTGAATCAGAATAACATTTTATTGTGAAATAGAGTAAAATTTTATTGTTTACGTCAATTTTGATGGCAAATTTTTTAAAAAAGAATTTCATAGTCAACCTTGATCTTATTTGATAGATCTTGATGAGAGAATTCTAAAAATACTAATTTTATTAAAAATCAACATCTAAATCAAAATTTATATCATTTTAAAGTTTAAAATATTAAATTAGTCACTAAAGATATTTTGATAATAGTGGTGTGTGCTGGACTTTTCAAATTATTTATTTATTTTTTTACTTGTCCTTAATGCATTAAAATTTTATTATGAAGGAACTTTAACCAAATCTCCCATTTTAATTCAGAATTATTTGCTATAAACACAACACAATTCATTTCAAAATATAAAAAGTAATACTTTTTTAATGTTTGACTAAGTAAAATCACTAATTACATTTGTTAAGTCAAAACCACAAAAACTAAAATAATTAACTTGATAGTAGTGAAATTTAATGATTTACTCACTATTTTAATTAAAAAATAAAAACAACATGGAGATGCCCGTACACTTAATATATGCACACACATTTAAATCCATTAGCCAATATAATTCCATTACAAATTGTAATTTATTTCGAACAGTTAGGTGTAATCGTTATTTATTGCCTTTTCTTGTCATTTCCTCGTTAAGAAGTTTCTCCTTATTTGGTAAAAAATTTGGGACCTCTAGCATTTTCCTTTTCTAAAAAGGCTATAAATTCTAAATGAATTACCAAGTATTCTACTAAACCTCTCATATAGAGGTAAAACCGACACACATGCTCAAATTAACTACATTTTTAGAAAGAATTTATTGTTTTACAAAAGGTTCAAGAACATTTCCCTTGTTTTCAAAAGTGCTTCAAACCCCTCCCCAAAAAAAATAATAATCAGCTTGTTTGGTTTTATTTTTCTGAAAACAGTTTTCAGAAAATTCTACTTTCTTATTTTTTGTATTTTTTTATTTTTGCTGAATTTTTTTAATATTTTAAGCAAAAAATTTTAATTTTTAGACACACTTGACTTAAATACACATAAAAAATAAAATTTTTGTGAAAAAAATCTTTTAAAAATTCAATAAAAAAATGAAAATTTAGTATACTTTTCATATTTTTACGTATTTGTTAATTTTCTTAAATATTTTTTCACAATTTTTTTACTTTTTAGATACATCTAAATAAGGTGCATCTAAAAAAGTAAAAAAAATGTTTAAAATTTTAAAAATATTCACTAAAAATAAAAAAACACACTGAATAATAATAATAATAATAATAATAATAATAATAATAATAAAGAGAGAAGAAGGAGAAAATTAGGAATAAAAATACCACGACGTGCATGAATTGTGAATCAATTTTGGTTCTTTGTTCTTGTGTATAACCGCACCGTTTGTTTCAACAAACAAATATTTTTTAACAAAAAAAAAAATATTTTTTCGTTTGTTTCAACAAACAAATATTTTTTAACAAAAAAAAAAATATTTTTTTTTTAACAAAAACAGTTTTTTTAGTGTGATGATGGTGGTGGATCAATGTGGAGGTGAAAGTGACAATGGTGTGGTTGCAACAATAGTGACTGTGATGGTGGTGGACGTGATGATAACAGTAATATTGGTAAAATTTTGGTCTAAACATTATTGTGTCTTACAAATAAAAAATCTTTTCTATTGAAATAAATTTATTTTTCATTGACCACCAAAAATTTCCCTTTTATTTTCCGTTGTAACAAATGTTCGAAAAATACAAAAAACATTTTTCAAAAAATATTTTCCACCCAACAACCTTAGCATAAGATACTGGTGCCTCAAATGTTCATGTGTAGAAATGCCCTGCAAACTGGAAAGCATGTTCCTGCAAGTATGGCCTCAATTACTTCAGTGCGGTAGCGCCTGATACTCAAACATTGGCTTGAGGTATTTTCCCTACCCCTTCTTATCCTAAAAAAACGCTAGCAACAACACCATTGACTTACCTGAGAGTTTTGGCTTGTGAGTGATCACACACATTGGGAATTCACCACGCATAGATGAATCGAAAGTGGCCCAAAAAAACAAAAATCAGCTTCGTGGGAATAAAAAGGTCCAGCATCGCTTTTGTGCAAGTAAAAAGCGAAAGATCCTTCTTACCGCTCAGGCTCAACCTCTGTGCAGCAGCTCATGCATCTGCATACATTGTAGATCAACAAAGTGTGAAAGTGTCAGAGACCTGCAAGCAAATCCGATATTTGTCAATGAACTGAAGCAGGGACATCGCAGAAGGCAATTTGCCAAAGCTGCAGCCATTTTCATCCCAACATTATTGTGTCTTACAAATAAAAAATCTTATCTATTCAAATAAATTTATTTTTCATTGACCACCAAAAGTTTCCCTTTTATTTTCCGTTGTAACAAATGTTAGAAAAATACAAAAAACATTATCAAAAAATGTTTTCCACCCAACAAACTTAGCATAAGATACAGGTGCCTAAAATGTTCATGTGTATAAATGCCCTGCAAACTGGAAAGCATGTTCCTGCAAGTATGGCCTCAATTACTTCAATGCGGTAGCGCCTGATACTCAAACATTGGCTTGAGGTATTTTCTCTACCCCTTCTTATCCTAAAAAAAACGCTATCAGCAACACCATTGACTTACCTGAGTGTTTTGGCTTGTGAGTGATCACACACATTGGGAATTCACCACGCATAGATGAATTGAAAGTGGCCCAAAAAAACAAAAATCAGCTTCGTGGGAATAAAAAGGTCCAGCATCGCTTTTGTGCAAGTAAAAAGCGAAAGATCCTTCTTACCGCTCAGGCTCAACCTCTGTGCAGCAGCTCATGCATCTGCATACATTGTAGATCAACAAAGTGTGAAAGTGTCAGAGACCTGCAAGCAAATCCGATATTTGTCAATGAACTGAAGCAGGGACATCGCAGAAGGCAATTTGCCAAAGCTGCAGCCATTTTCATCCCAACCCAAACCAAGAAAATTTCATCACAATCCCTTCAGGACGTCACGTTGGAAAAAGGACAACGATCTCCAGGCTGTTTCAGTAACTTGAGTGAAAAGATCTGAACTTCATAAACAAAGGCATGTTAAGAATGGGTTAGGGTTGTTCGAAGTTCCATTGCAATTTGCCCACATTGCTGGAATTCATTAACTCAGAGCAAAGAAAAAACAACAATCACCCCGGAATAAGAAAAAAAGCATTGCGCTGAGTATAGATGTAAGCATCACAACTCACATTTCTTCTATTACTTGTACCCAAAAGAGTTAATTTAACTGACAGCCATGCATGACATATACCCAAGAGTCTCAGTCCTGTTCCACTGCTGTCAACCAGTATAACCTTCAAAATAACATTCTCTTAACTTTATCTACAATTCCGTCACTCTCGATAGTATATCTCTCTATCTATCTTATGGAAATTCTGAATCATTCTCGGTCACTTTAAAGGGTTGAGGATGTTGGCCGGAGCAGTACAGGTTCCACATCTTAAAATATGCTCGATCAAGATTCCTCACCTGGATCAATTTAAAAAGAGTAAATCAGAATGCACTTGTCATCAACATGATCAAATCACAAGCTCAACAATGATATTAAGCTCCCGAGCTTCCTAACACCAATAAAGGATACATTTGAAGATAAGTTCAAAACAATACAACTCAAATGTTTGAAACCCAGAAATAATTAACCAACTTGAGCTGTATGCCCAATTGGCCAAAATTCCTTCATCTCATTAAAAGGTCAAGAGTTCAATTTTTCTCACGGGAAAACTCCCCTACTCCAAGCTATGGCCATTGGCCCCCATGTACTCCAAAAAAACAAAACAAAACAAAACAAAATATGATTTACTCACCCAGCGTGCTGTATCAAATAGAGGGCAAGTCAAACGGGATGCTTTAAGTCTGTTAGTAAGATCCTGGAGCTTCAAGGGATTTAGTGCCAATGACACTGCCTTCTCTTCATACTCTTTCATACTTCAGTATACCAGATGCAGCAAGTTAGCAATCAACAGAAAACTAGGAAAAAATAGATCAAGCCAGCAAACTGCAATTTGGTTCAAATAAATAAACCCCTACACCACTTTATATGGTGTATGGGGAAGGTTTGTTGCCATTCCAAACCATAAGTGATCATGGGAACTCTCCCTCGTAAGCTCATTGAGAAACAAATCTTACATTTCAATTTGTTCCAACTATAAATCATGTTCAATTGTTTTTACTAATGGCAAAACTTAAATATAGCACAAAATCCCAAAAAAATCACAAGATTGTCGGAACTTGTAGAACGTTTTTTTACTACATTTCAATCACCACTTTCCAGGAAAAAGGAAATTGACACCGTCAATAAAGCATCAACTGACCAAAATTCTTATGTAATCACGTGACCAAAATCCATACCTATGGACAATCATTTCCTCCCCAACTCCAGTGGCCAGACAAAGTGAACCGGCAACTCTAGTTGCCATTTTCTCAAGGGGAAGGGTCACCATTGGCAGACCAGCCCAAAGTACATCTGTGCCCGTTGTATGGGCATTGCATAATGGCCTATACTCAGAATAGAAACAAGAAATTACGCAAAACTAGAAGTGATGGCTGTAATAACTAAAATCAAAACAGCAACCGTTCAAGTGCCAATTGTAGAAATCAATGAACTGCAGGTTAAATAAACTAGATATGAGCAAACAGGTTCATTGTATATACGTGTCAAGGAATAGATCTGCTAAACTGCTTCTTCTGATATGTTCGCTTTTCATGGCAACATCTGTGAAAATAATTTGGTCAGGTTGCACACCTTGTGCAGCAGCATCTGGAGACAATGAAACCTTTCGGTTAGATAATTTATAAGGCGTATCACACAGAAAATATTAACAAAATGGCAATTATAAACTGATTAGAAAATTGGAAGCATGCTTTGTGGTTAGCATGAGCAAAGAAGTTTCGCATGTCTGTATAATGTAAATAATTTCTACTAGATCATATTGCATACATGTCCGGAGTCTTGTCTCGCCCGCAGCCGGAAATCTAAGAAGCCAAAGTGCACTATTGGGAACACGCTTAAGAATATTGCACCTGAAACAGTGTAAGCCCAATTGACTAAGTATGGCAGTAGATAGTACACAGACCAGAACAAGTAACATCATTGCCTAACCAGACATTACCAAGTTGTAAAAATATCAGGGTCCATCTTGTACAGCTGATTGAAACAAGCAAATATAAACTTGTCCTCAGGCAATCCATAATCCGAACGCTTGGGTTGGCATTTTGGATCCAATACATCGCAATTTTTCTAATAAAATTGTATGACAGATTGAGTTAACCATAAAATAAAACTTGATGTTCCATGATAAAAATCTTCAATAGAATAAAACATGATAGATTCTACCTGCTTATAATCGTTTACAAAGTAGCAATGAGGGAGATGGACAAGCTTCTCAGAGTATATATGTGAGAAACAACTAGGCGAAACAAACTGCCACATCATTAAGTACATGTTAAAAAGAATACAAAGATAAAGAAAGATCACAATGTACAAGCTTTCATATATATATATATATTCGTAACCTTATCAGTGACCAAATAATGTATGTAAGACGCTCCTGTTGTTCCAGGAAATCCCATGTATGAAACCTGGATAGGAGCAGGCTGCATGGCAAATATTTCATTTCTAGCGCCCTGCACAATTAGTAGAGAGCCACAAGATTAATCCAGAATTCAGATAAGTGACAGAACACAATTACCACAATAATATTTGTTCCAAAAACTATTCATGTAGTATACAATCTTACATCTAAAATGAGAAAATAAGATGGGAAAAAACAAACCTCAATACACTTCTAATTTCTATAAAATCAGGATAATGCAAAAAAACCGAAAAAATGTATATATCATAAGATACCTTGGTATAACCATTAAGGTTGACCAGGATTTGTATTTGATCATCATTAATCATCCTAGCAATTGTATCAGAAGACATGGAAGACACATCTAAGAAGTGCTCTGCTTCTGTCTGGATACGCAGCCTCCATTCTGTACCATCATTTGGACTTAAAGCATAGCAGAACACCTGATGCGACACATTATGTTACTTGCCAAGCATAAGACACAAAATAGACACAATTAAAAGTCTCAAGCAGAATTATTTCTTCACATGAAAGCAATCTAAATTTGCAAACCTCAACATTTTCTCTATTATGCATGCCAAATACTGAGCCCATAAGATGTGACAATGGATGGTTCCCGAAGTCACTGCTGACATATCTGAAACCAGGGAAAACAGCCAGTCAAGCATATGCTTTTTAATTTTTACTTAAAAAACAACAATAAAAATGGGTCATAAACCCACCTTGCAATGTGCATAACGCAATTAGTCCAAGTGCGGATTTATTACAGCCATAAGGACACATTTTTGGTACCTTTCTTTATTAACAAGTATTTGTTTAAGGCCACACGGATTTTTGACAGACAACTTTGCTTTTTTGAAGAGCACAAAAAACATCATGGATGATAAAACAATGGATGAGGATGGAGGACGATGATGGAACAAAGGACAATATATGGCGCACGACGACACAATTGACAGACAAATGGAAGACAGAAGGTGGACAGAAAGAATGGATAAAGCTTAGTATAAGTAGTTTTGGACAACAATCTAAGCATGGACACTTCTAAAAAGGTGCATGTCCGTGTAATGTTCGTGTCTGACGCCAACACTTCCCCACATGTATCAGACACAAGGGATTAGTATCTTATTTCGGTATTCCAAGATCCAACTATCAAGATCAAAAGATCTTACCTACAAGGGATTTTGTACATGATCCGGATCAACTTTGTCCAAATAGATTGTAAGATCCAGATAGGAATTCTGACAACCATGGCCAAACGAGATAGAGAGAGATGAATGCAACGACAAAATAGAGATTTAGGGTTAGGTGGTATTTTAGTCACATTGAAAAAGGCTATCCTTAGAGCTTGAAAGGTTTTGCGAGTGGACTGATTGAGGAAAAAGTACCAGAATTGGACTTATAACCAAGCCCCTAAAACGAGTATAAGAAAAAAGTGGGGGAAAAAAAGAAAAAAAGAAAAAATCAGTGCTTCAAAACTTACCCAACCCTTAAACGGCCATTCCCACCCCTTATGGGTAATGGAGCAGGATGGTTGAAGGGAGGAAGTGAGTAACGGGCAGCAGTCACAGAGCAGTGCGCAGCATATTTACGACTATAAGAACAAAGAAAACAATTAGAAAATTATATGAAATGTTTCACTTGATGTCAAAAGTGCCAAACTTGATAATTCACCTAATTTCCAGAGCAAGCATTGGATCAAGGGGATAGGCTATAGCATGGAAAGGCTGCACACTGGGAATAATCGACATCTAGAAGAAGATAAATGTTGTTAGTCAATCAACAAAAATAACGGGAAACTACTTCAGACATTAATATTTATAATTAAACAGATTCACTGAAACCTTTATCTGCCTCCGAAGTATCCCTTCAACTTCAATGAACATCTTACCGCGATCATCCCAGTCACAAGCACACTGTAAACATAAAATCAAATTACAAAAAAAAAAAGAAGAAAAAGTTTCATTGAGATGGACCACCAACAGCACATTCAAATAATGCAGGGGGTGAATTTGTCCAAATAACAACAATTAAACTGCAATAGAATTCATTTCAATAATCCCATGAATTTTCTGCCACTAATTGCAAATCTTATAATGAGAACTCAAAGAAAAACCTTTGTAAGAAGAACCCCATTATTAAAGGTCCCAACAAAGTAGCAAAACCATGAACAAGAAGAAAAGAAAAAAGAACAAATATTGGCTTTTGTTTTCTTCCCTTCTTCTATATCCAACAGAGATTTCACATCATTATTTTCTTCAATATAAAAAAATGTATTTTATTCAATGTAAAAAAATGTTTAATATACATTTGTTTAAATAAATAAATATATTAAAAAAAAAGAAAAACATTTTTGGTGAGACGCCAGGTAAAGTTTTATGTATCTAGAAAAACCACCTTTTCAGGATAAACATGCATTTGAGTCTTATGATTTGATAAACAATAGAAATCTCAAATCTTATTTTTTTGGTTGATTTGGGTTAAAAGTAAAAATATATGAAGTGGGTTTTTAAGAGTAGACAAAAATAAAAATACACTCCTACATACATCAATGCCTATATTCATATGCATAGTAAATAAAAAAAAATATTTTTTTGTCCTATCCCTGCCGTGTCCCTATCCTATTTTTTGAAGATAGCAGTGTCCCATTTCAAGTGGAAGTTTAGGAAATAGTGTAAGATAAAAGAGTGGATAAGAACAATTAACAAATAGAAGATTGAAAATAAATATATGGATAAATTGTATTGGATAATAAACAATAATTTAAAGTAAAATATTAAAAGAGTGAAACTATTATGCACATTTCATGACCTAATACTAGTCTGCTTCAAAGGCAGAAAACATTTATATTTTTGTCCCAGACAAATGGAGGCATGATTCTTATATGACCACAGTCCAAGGACAAAACAGGCGCATACATTGACAGCATAAAACTAACAATGTAACTGTGCTTCAACTATCAATATCAACTGTGCTTAGGTCAATATGTAGCCCAAGGACAAAATAGGCTATGCATTACATTGACAGCATAAAACTATCAATATCAACTTTGCTTCAACTTTTATGGCCTCAGTAAATATCAGCTCAAAGAAACTCGACAAAACAATTTCCCTTAATCTATTGGATAAGATAAGAGTCACCTATAACATCTCATTTCTAGGTTTATATAACTAAAATGCTTAATATATCATTCTTCTTAGTTACTAAAATTGAACACCAACACCAAAGATGATGCATATCCAGATATACCTGCAAGGTATGTAGGAGATTACAAGTTGCTTCTGGAAAATCAGGTCGAAGAAACAAGGCTTGCTTATAACTTTTTATAGCTGCTTCAACATGCCCACTACAGATTGTCCAAATCAAAGAATTAAACGTGTAAGATAATTTTATGAATGAATCATAAACAAAATCCAATATAAGTGGACCCAGAACACTTGGGGAAAAAGTATACACCTATCCTTGTAAGCTGAAGCTAAATTTGCATGAGCTTCAGCCATGGTTGGCCGAATGGCAATAGCCCGTAAATAGTCTTGAATCGCTTCACTGACTCTACCAATCTCCTTGTATGTGTTTCCCCGATTGACAAGTCCATCAGCTGCCAAAGGGTCGATGCACAGAACTTCATTATAGCAAGATATAGCATCAACATAATTACCCTGTAGCATGATCAAAAAGTAAAAAAAAATAAAATAAAAGAAGTCAGCACTCATATTAAAATCTAGCAAAGAATAATCCAAAATATCACAATGCTTTCTAATGGAAATAATACCATCACTTTATCTTTCCTGTACGAGTACTATTTGAGCATCCTTTTTGTGCTAATAATGAAACCCAAGAATCTTCATAATTTGTGATTCAGGAATGTGTGTGTGTGTGTGTGTGGAGAGAGAGAGAGAGAGAGAGAGAGAGAGAGAGAGAGAGAGAGAGAGAGAGAGAGATTACCTGTTGTTTGTAAATTATTGCCAAGTTATTGAAAGGAGCAGAGAGTCCTGTTGTCACAGATATCGTTGCCTTGTAACATTGTGCAGCAGCACTCATCATGTTCCTGCAAGATCAAAAAACTCTTCATTGTAAACCACCAACCACCTATTCACATACCAGAAGTTCATGAATGTTTCCTTTAATCAGAACAATGATATATATAAAGCAAAATGAAAAAGAAACTCAACAATATATCTAAAAGTACATACCATTCCATGTATATATTTCCAAGGTTAGTAAGTGCTTGTGGATGGCTGGGTTGCAAAGCCAGACATTGCTTCATGGAACAAAGAACTGTCATCAGATTTAATGGTAAAGAAAACAAAAGGAAAAACAAATGGCACAACAGTAGAATAGAACCTACACGATAGCAGTGAATCGCTTCTTCAACTTTACTAGCATCTTTCAGTGCATTACCCTTGTAATAGTACAACCAAAAAAACATAAATTTCATCTATAAAATTACAATGTACATAGAAACAATCCAGAAATTAGAAAAAGATAATAAAGGGCCAACCAAATTATTGTATGCCTCCAAGAATCCAGCATCACAAGCAATGGCTTGCTTATAATGGAGTATTGCCATATCCAGTTTGCCTTGCTCATAATATATACTACCTAAATTGCCTGCATAATTTGGTTTTGCACAATGTACCATAAGCAGGTTAAACAGATCACCAAGCCACTCGAGCTGATTATTATAAATTAATGATATGCAATTTTAACTTCACAAAATATAGAATTAAGATATGTGCTCCATTGTGATTTTGGGTGAATAGCACATAATGATCAATCATTCCAACCTTTAATTAGAAATAAAATTAAATTAGAACAAGTTATACTAATGCGACTTTGGGTCTTTCATGTTCAACTGTTGTGCCCTTAAAGATACAATCACCAATCGGATGACACTTTTTTCTGAAGTCAACCTGCTCAAACACTGCCCTCAGCAAGGATAGGTTGAAATGCATTTGGAAGAATCATTTGTTCAATGTTAGGTAAGTTCAAATGGACAAACACTAATCTTTCTCACACATGGATAATGATAAATGTTAAACATAGAAACACAAAACAAAATGTTATTATACTCACCAAAAGCCATAGCATAGTCTGGACGAGCTTGAAGGGCACACTGATAACACACAATAGCCTCTTGAGGCATTCCCAGAGCCTGAAAAATGCAAAAGAAAGATATTGTTTTACTCCAGATTCCTGTTTTGACATTTGCAGCTACCCCAACCATATTTGGACAGTACATGAGCTTACCTTGTAAACACTTCCCAGGTTCAGGTAGGCATCTGAAAATGTTGGTTTAAGCTTAACTGCTTCCTGGAAATAAATATGCTTTCATCAATTCTATGTACACAAAACCATATTCAGTTGCTTACATGTATGAATTTAGAAACCAAATCCCAGACAAACCAGAGCACATACGAGACACATAACCTGTCTTACCTTGTAATATTGAAGAGCCTTGTTAAGATCACCTGCCTCCATGAAAAGGCCAGCTAGGTTGGACCATGCTATAGCAAACGTTGGTTGTATACGAAGAGCATCAACATAGCAATTATATGCCTAGAAAGTATAACTCAAATCATTTAGAACTTAAGAGTTCAAGAAGATTAATCAATCTAAAATATCTGCAAAAGCAATCAAGGAAAAAACCGAACAACAAATGCAAATCCAAATTGAATTTTACATGCATATTACTTCCAATCTATGAAGCACGGATACTCCAAAAAAAGGTGTCGTACAAGTGTCGGATACGGTAAATAAGTATCCAATTTTTTATTTATTTATTTATTTTTTTTGTTGATTTTGGATACGGGAGGGATATGCGAAAGATACTTGAGGGATACAGCAGGATATGTGAGGGATACGCCAAATAAGTGTCCATTTTTTTCTTCTAATTTGTTTCTTATTTTTTACTTTTTATATTTTAATACGCTAAATAAGTATATATTTTTTCCCAATTTTTTTCTTAATTTATATTTATATTTTTTCAATGGTCAGTACTCTCTTCTCTCGTTCCTTTTTTTTCCCCCTCTTTTTTCCTTATCTATTAGGCTGCTTTATTTAATTTTTTTTCCACTTTTTTTTTTCCCCTACACTGTTTTAATGTAAGTATTTCTTTACCAAATTTTTAATTTTGGGAACTTTAATGTCAATATTTCTTTATTTAATAGGAATCCCTCTCTTTATTTATTAATTTGTTTTAGATTTTATTTTCATGCATATTACATTATTAAAATTATAAAAAATAATTTTTTTATGAATGTATCCCCGCCGTACCCATATTCTACTTTTTTAGATTTTGGCGTATCGCAGTATCCATATCACTATTCCGTATCCGTATCTGTGCTTCCTAACTTCCAATCAACATCAATAACAACAGAAATCGAAATTAAAAATTTAATTATCAGGTATGACCATTGAGTGTCTGTTTCAGAAACAAACATTCACAGCCATAACCTTTTCTGACAAAAGATGCATGCAGTCACATCCTATCTTGTGCTCCACAATTGATCAATTGAATCATGAAAGGGCATCCCACATGTTCCAACCCCTTAGCACACCCATTGTATGCCACACCCATTGTCATTCAAAGTATAATGGAGAATTTATTACCTCTTGCACTAAACCTTGAGCTTTCATCAGATTCCCAAGGTTACTATGCGCATCAACCTACAACAATGAATAGAATTACATAGTAACATCACAAAATTTCCATTATATAACTTATGGAAACATAGATAGGGACTTACCAAACAAGGGTTTAATGAAAGAGCCTGGCGACAACATTTGGAAGCCTCACTAAGCCTTCCCTTCCGCATGTAAGCACTAGCTAAGTTCGACCATGCATCAGAAAAATTGGGTCGAAACTGCAATATACAAAATTTACAACCAAAGTCAAACACCCAAATAGTAATAAAAGACAAGACCAGTACAAAATCTAAACATGAAGGGAAGACATAATAATAAAATCAATCAAAAAATGGGATTGAACGTAAAACTCAAGACAAGAGTTGGAAAAGAAAATAGAACAGATCCACCGATATTTAGCAAGCTGAAAGATGATATCCCCAGTAGGAAAGAGTAGCATAAACAATAACACTGAATTAATAGCTATCAGCTTAAGCATGCTATTGATACTCTAAACAGAACATCACAGAAGACTGTTCTGCAATTCCCCTATAATTTCTACCTTTTCAACTTTGTCAAGTTCTACACTATGCAATCCAACCATTTTAGGATGCAAATGCATCAGAAATCCTATCGAGTTACATATACACACCACAATACATACCAACCTCAGCCACAATGTAGAGAATCAAAAATTAGGTTATGAGATTGAAGAATTGAACCTCTGATTCTTTTTGTCTTCTTTTTTTGGGGGGAGCAGATTTGACTTCTGAGAACTCACTGATACCTAAGTTTGTTCCTGGGAAATTCTAACACATATACACACCACAATACATACCAACCTCAGCCACAATGTAGAGAATCAAAAATTAGGTTATGAGATTGAAGAATTGAACCTCTGATTCTTTTTGTCTTCTTTTTTTGGGGGGAGCAGATTTGACTTCTGAGAACTCACTGATACCTAAGTTTGTTCCAGACTCCAGTTTTTAAAATAACAACACTGTTTTCCAACAAATTATTAGAATTTTACAAAAGATCCCCGCTGACGTGGTATATTTTGGGCTTAAATATTATACAATACACACTGGTAATTTTGCCAATACTGGTAGGAAACATTATCTATTCTTTCGGTTTCCATTATCAACAACTAAAAATACAGTTCGACACTTATTAGGCCACTTGAGAATGGCTTCCATTCTAATGATCCCATGGTGTATAGCCCGTCAATATGAGACATTTTGGGCCTTACATAGGTCCAAGGATGTGAGAGCTAGCTTACAAGGCCAGCACAATTGCATCAGCAATGGGAATATTAACATACAGGGCTACACAGCATAAGCAGACTAGGCGGCTGCTGCTGCTGCATCAACAAAACAGACCAACCACCAAGAAAACATGGAACACAATGTGCATGACTTGTGTCCTGACCTGAGAAGAACATGAAAGCATCTTCTTCTTAAACCTCTATCGCTAGCTCCCAACTTAGTTTCCAAGCTAGGACAGACAGAGCCATCCCATACCGACAACATGCTCCAAGCTCAAGGAGCTGTCTCAACTTTACAAAACAATATGGTTACAAGCTTGAGGGGCACAGGGCTAAATGTGCCTTGGGGCACACAGCCTTGGCAACCACCATCAAGGCAAGCTTCCACTATTGCCAGCATCTGTGTTGGTTGTAAGGATCCATTTCCCAGAAGAGAATTAAATGCCATAATGAGGTCAATCTTTAGCAAAGCTATTGCTAGTGAGGTCAATGAGATGAAACATCAACCAGATTGAGGCAAGCTTCTACTCTTGCCAGCATCTGTATTGGTGGTAAGCAAGCATCCATTCCCCAGAAGAGCATTAAATGCCATAATGAGGTGAAACCCCAACTGGGACATCTATCAGCCCATGTGTGGTTCAATGGTGGAACCACCTCTTCCACAAATCACAGGTCAATGTATAATTGGGCAAACATCGTCATCCAATATGAATTATTGAAAAAAGTAATCAACTTCTCTGACGATAAACAAAAGTCACAAAATCAAAGAACTGAAAAAGGGAGTCCCATCATTCATTTCTACTATGAAGGTCTTGCAATACAAGGAAATAATTTCAATGTTACCAATGCACTAAAAGACTAGGACAACTATCTCTGCAGTAAGAATCCAACTGCTGCAAGACAGACAATGTCTGAAGTTACAGATACATACGTTTACCAATAAGCAAATAAAATATCAGCTTTATTACTATATTGGATCACTTTATCCTAGAGTTAATAAAATAATGCTCAAAGAAGAAGTAGTATCCTTATTCCTTCAATCGTAACGAAGAAAAGGAATCATTTCCCAACTCAAAAGACTACAAAATAGAAACTTCCAATCATTATGCCTTCTGGAAAGCAAGCATTTTGTGCACAAAAACCACAGTTTTCACAAACATGCCCTTAAGCTTACCTCCACCAAGCAGATTTTGCATCATCCTAGCAATGCCCAAATCCCATGTCAGGTCACTTTCAGCAACCATTCCCAACTACAGTAAATTGTATGCATGAAGGGATCTCCAGATACAAACGGTCTTGCAATTTTGAAAATTTGTCATGTTCCTTAAGGAAATGTTTTTAAGAAAATGCAAAAGTGGACACAAGATGGTTATAAATTGTTTGCTTCTTTATCCTAATGTGCAATATCTACATTCTTTTATTGCTACACTACACCTACCTCATTGGGTAGTTGCATTAGTAGGCCAGTTCATAGAACCATTACTAACATAGACCAACAAATATAAACAATTTGATTCTGAATTTCCTGCACCCAGCCGTCAAGTTGAACACGATGGTGGACAGAGATGTAGGCACAAGACTATATAATATACACCAATAAGATAATTTGTGGATAAGAAACATAAGTTCTTTGCCCATGCAATAATGCACCCTACATGAATGAAGGTTAGTTGCAACACAATTATTTCTCTTGACAATGTGGTTAGATAACAATGTAATTTAGAACCTAAGAAGCATGAACACAGATATAGATGTGGACACAGACACAGATGCAGATGTGGATATGAGACACGGCGGTTTCAAAAAAAATGGAGACACGGACACGGTGGGGACACGGCAAAAAAATATATTTTTATATATTTTTATTTGCTATCTAGATTAATATTACATCCACAAATAATCATTATTAACAAAAACTAATTATAATTCTATTTTTTTTTAAAATCACTTTTAAACTAGCACTTACAATTTATATATTTTTTTATGGATGGTCATTTCATCGAAGAAAAAAATAATAAGCATTCAACATTCATAAAAAGCACTGAATAAAATGGGGGAAAGACAACTTGACATGTCCCTAGTGTGTCTCCAAAGTTTCCTCGGCTTGTCCCCTAAAAATAAATTAATTAAATAAGGGGACACACCATGTGGTGTGTCCCATACGTGTGTCCCCAAAGTGTCCGTGTGTCCGACACGGATACGGCACTTGTTTTGAAGTGTCGGTGTTTCATAGTTTAGAACCCACAGTTCCCTACTACCAACACAATGAAACAGTGAATCACCACAAATATATTGCAGCAAATCTCAGAAAAATATTAATAAAAAATATAAATAAATCAAAAAAGAATTGTTCAGACAGACCCAAAATATGAAAAAACAAAGAGGGAAAAAACAGGAGAATAAGAAGCTCCCAGCATCAAGCATTCATTCTAGCAGTCTTACAAGAAAAGAATTGAACATGAATAACCAGGTTGACGGCTATCTACAAACCTCAATAGCAATCAAATAATAGCGTATCGCCAAATCAATATTGCCTTTTTCCTGTGGGCAAAAAAATACAAGATAACGGATATTAAATCCTCATAAGCTTTACCAAAACAAAACTGCAACCACCAAAGTTACTTGTGTTGTAAGTTACCTTCCAAGCATTTGCCATGTTCCCATAACACTCGGCAAAATGTGGGTCAATTCGAAGAGCTTCTTCATTCTTTGCAATGCACATATCAAAATCATGCAACTAAAAACAAATAACACCATATACTCCAGGTCAGATGTATATAGATCTCACAGACAGCCAGAGTGGGACAGCAGCAAAAATAAATAAATAAATTATACCCGTGTATACTAACCTGATAATAAATAGCACCCAACAAAAGAAGATTATCGGTACGCCGTGGGTTCCTTTCATGAACAGCATTGCTATGTTCTAAAGCCTGCTTATAGTTCCCAGCTTTGTAATTTTGATGAGCAAGGGCCAAGAGCATGTCCTCATCAACTGCATGCAGCACAGGAAGGAATGCAAACCTCAGCAATGAACCATAACAGACCTTTGTCAGTCAAAGAAAAGAGATTATAGTGCAATGCATAGAAAAAGTATTTCAAAATGCTTAACTGAATATATTCCTTCCCAAGTATCACTAGGGAACTATTTTGCACAGAGCAACCCCAGCATTTTATCCATTAATTCTAAACCCCTTTTTTTTGGGTAGGTTTAAGTCTGCTTCAAGACAGACAACTAGCATTTATACATGCCATTAAGAATCTGCATCCCTAAACCCAAAGTCATACAACTTACTGATATATTCTAATAAGCTCCTATTCAATACCATGCTTTCACAAACAAAAGTGCAAGACAAGCTAATACAATCTAATTACTGTTTGATCTCTGAAAAATTATAAAAGAATCACAGCAAAGGTCATGAAATGTGACATCATCATAATAAGAAACAAAATACCTCTTAAATATGTTTTAACATTTTCAGAAACTTTTTTTTATATAAGTAAAACAAATTATATTAAAAAAAGCATTAAAAGGGATATTACCCATGCAACAAAAACAGGTTAAACCAAGATAACCTTCACCATTTGAACAAAAGAAGGGGCCTACACACTCCAACGAACAAAGGCTAACAAATTCTTCAAAATCAAAATAATTGAAAAAATCTAAAACATGATCAATAGTAGGAAAAACCTTCCCTGAAGTGGCTATACAAAATTGCCAAAAAGAAACTCTCAATTATACGCAAAAGCCCCTCCTAATCAAGACTCTACAGTTCCCACCCTCACTCCCTACCTGCCATGCAAGACCCTGCAACATCTTTAGGAAACACTAACTTATAAAGGCAGCACCTCCTAATCAAATTATCAATGGTCGATATATTCTTGTGAGCTGAAATCCACACAAAGAACACAAACTTGGATGGAGCCCGAACCATCCAAATGCCACTCCAAGGGAAAAAAACAGCCTCCTTTTTCCCATCAAAGCCCCATAAAAGGATATCACCTCAAGCCTCATGTCATAGCAACAACGCACAATAAAGAATCTTGACCTTCATCAACACCTTGAAACCCATAAAGCATATTGAGAAGATTTGTTATTGCAGATAATACAAATATAGCATATGGGAACACCAAAACAGTGAGATCCAATAAAGGTATGCAGTTACATTTGCATAAATTGAAAAACACGAAATAGCACAAGAATCATGGTAATCCAACTAATTTAGAAAGGGGAAGTATGAACACTAAAATTCACTCGGAAATACCTTCCAAGACCTTCTCTCAAGAAGCCAACTACAGTGGTAGTCAATGTCATTGTCAGAGAAGCCATCCATCATGTTCGTTTATTAGTTACTTCCACTACCCACAACCCCCAAACTGGCTGTGTAGAAGTACTGAAAGGATCTATCTAGAAATTACTCAACAAGGGACTCCTACAACAATGTTTAAGGCATGATGCCAAGAAAACTTGTAAGGGCATTAATGATTCTCACTACTCTAACCCATCTTTCTCATCTTCTCCACATTGAATGAATTCCCAAGTTCATTTTCCTATTTCCTTTCCAAACATAATATTCATTATCCTCAATTCCCTAACTAACTCTTCTTTTCTATAACATGAACTCTTTACCATTGTCATAATCAAGCCACCCTTGACAATCCCACCATTTTCCCAACCTGGCAGTTCCCCTCCCTCCTTTCCCCAATCAGCCTTTCCCCATTGCCCGCCTATTTTTTCCTATTGGCCTTCCCTCCTCTCCTTTCCAACTCCATCTCCACTAAGCGCTCCTAGCAAAACCATCCTCTCTACCTCCATTTACCCCCTTATTATAATTGAGTACAATTAAAAGATTAGGTTTCAATATGAAAAAAATAAATAAAAAATTTAGAGTTATGTAATTTTGTTAAGGGTCAAACCCTAGGGTTATTTATGTAATTTTCTCTATCAATTATAATCAGCTGTATGGTTAATACAGCCTACAGGGATTTAAACTTGAACCAGGCTCCTATATCTGCGAAAGAACGCATTGACTTAGTGAGCATCCCAATGATCAAAAAAAGAGAAGAAAAAAAAGAACTCAAGTAATCCAATTCAAGAGCAACAACTCTTCTTTGCCAAAGGTGCAACAATAATGCTACTTTCAAATGCTCCTTAGTTCACACAAGACAAAAACAAGGCCCTTCCATGTGTGTCGCTATTCATATTCTCATTGCACTCTAAAGACTTCAGCAATTTAAGCCTCATAAGCACAATGAAGTTTTTGAATTGAACTGTATTTCTATAAGTGGATTAGAAAATTCAACAACCAAGGTCACTCTCATACTCAAAATCCACATTTCTTGGCTTCTTTTTCTTTTTCTTTTTTTTTTTTTTGTCTAAAATTCACAAAAAGACAAAACCTTCGTTTGGGATGTAGATTAGCTTTTTGACTTTTTAGCTTTTTGGTTATTTTAATTTGTGGCTAAAAAGCTTCGTTTGGTATGGATTTTTACAAATTAGCTTCAAATAGGGGCTAAATTCCCACTGTATATCACCCACTAATGTGGTAGTTATACTGCTCATCGCAGCACTTGACTGAGGCAGAGTGACCTTCTTTCATTACCGCTATTGTTGTACCCACCAATCTCATATACCTAAGCTAAGAGGCAAGACTTCGATATGCTGAAGTCATCAGCATGCACCATGGCATTCTAGGACTAGTGATTTGGTTGCAGGATTTTGGGGTATTGTGGCTTGGTGGCTAGAGACAAAGGTTTTGCTCGGTGCAATGCCCAGCTGGTGTCACTCCCTTAGTCCAATCCTTGAGAGAGTGACAGCACTATTAAGCTTGTGTACAGACTTACAAGGATTGAGACAATTCCTAACAACTTGAAACATTTTAACACTATAACATAATTCCCAAAATATTCGAAAAGATTGTAGCTGTCACATGACCAACCTTCTATAAATAAAAGGCAACACTCTTTACATCACAAGTTCTTCATACATCATCTTCTTGAGAGGTCATCCCTGTAATTTAGACTCTTCTGTCCATGGACTCCAGTACTCCACCATCTCCCTCCCCCCTCCTCCTCTCTCTCTCTCTTTACTAGACTGCTCTGTCTCTCACCCAGTCACCCCCATGTTGCCACTCTCTACCGAACCTCTAAGCCCAAGTCAATCCTTTACATAGACTACAACCACCAAATAAAAACCTTATTTTGAAATTTAAATTTTATATTCATGCAAATGACCACATAAACCATTTTGATTATCAAAAGACTCCTATTACCTAAGAAGTGCATACACTTCTAAAAAGTTCTGTGTCCACATCATACACCAATAATCCTCAGACTTCCTAACACATGTCAGACACACGTCCAAACATGTTCTATTATTTTTTTAATTTTTTTTACACAAACATGCTCCGAAGTCCAGACTCTTGAGATACATACTGATTAATCGCTTCGACAACATTAAATTACAAGTTTAAAAATAAATAAATAACTTAGGATCCAAAAATAAAAGGAAAGCAATGTAAATTATCTATCCTCCTTTAGACATTAGGAATTGGTGATATGTTGCATTATTTTATTATTTTTTAATGAAATATTTATTTATATGACATATAATATAATAGGTAAATAAAACTATATATTTGGCACATGTCTCCCACGTGTTGTGGCCTATTATTTTTTTAAAATTGTTATATCGACATGTCTATGTCCACTTGATTTGGTTTGATTTGGCATGTCTGTGTCCATACCTGTTAGCCTACAACCTCTTCCCTAAAGCAGATAGATTAACCCCCAATAACATGAAATCCAGAGTGATTGAAACTAATTGAAACATTGCATGCAGTTTTAAGTCATCCTCGAGCACATAATCATGTATGCAACGAAGGACAATAAATCGGCAACCAAAGGAACAAATAACACCACAACCAGTGTGTTGAAACTTACAACTGCACATTAAAATGCAGATCAGATTCATGGAATCTTGTCAGGCCAAACAGCTATCCAAATTAGCAATGACAATTTGCAGCCCTTATATATCTAATTAACAAACCACGTTTCATTACAAAACAAAACAATCTAATCCAAATAAAAAGACAACGTGTCATCTGATCATCTTGCTGGTACAAAAAAGACCCTTTTGAATTGAATAATTAAGTAAATAAGTGATATCAACAGTACAGAAGTAATTATTTCACGTATTAGACTAATCAATTCCGCAAATCCACAAAATTTTAAAATACAACAATCAAATTCTCTCAAAAAAGTAATGATCTTTCAACATATACATACACATATATAAGGGTCTATGTACACATGAAAAACTAAACTGACAAATTGAAATCCAAAGCCGAACAAAAACAAAAATTTGTGATCAAACCCTAAACCTTACACATCAAACCCTGTGAAAATTAGTGATCGAAACGTAAACCCTACTAAATAAAACACGAAAAAGTGGGAAAATCCAACCTTCACGGGGCTCCAACGCCTGTGAGAGATTGAGAGTGGAGGAAGACAAGGAAGTCTCCGAATGCAGAACAAAGGAATCGTCACGCTGATCGCCAATGTATGAAACCCTAGGAACCTGCACCTGTGACTCCCGCTGCTGGAATTGTTGCTGTTGTTGCAGATGGTGTTGCCGAAGATCAGTCTGCATCGAAAGCATGATTGGTTGCCGAGAAACAAAAAAGAAAAGCACCGAGGATCTACGGACGGGTTGTAGAAAGCAAAGGGAAATTCTACAACTTGTTCATTGAATGAGGTGGCGTTTCAGGAAAGGAAAACAAAATCAGACATATATATATAAATTTTTTTAAAAAGGGAAAGATTTTCCGGGATTGATTTGGATTTTCTCGCAAGGAAAGTAATCAAGTAGGAAAATCCGGATTAGAGAGACTCTCTCTCTATCTCACTCGCTCGCGTCTCAGTTCTCGCCTTCGTTCATCGATTCTTTTTGTTTGTTCAGAAGAGAGAGAGAGAGAGAGAACTTGTAAAGAAAAACAGTCGTCCGCGTTACAAGTCGAACAATTATCCCCAGCTACCCGGGTTTTTCGTTGTCTATCATAGTAGCCAATTACTGAATAGCACGTGTATTTTGTCGGAGGCTTCCTGCAAAGTAAATCTGATGTGTTGCTCTCATACGACTCGTTGAGTTGCGGAATTTGTCAAATTTTTCTAGGTCGGTCGCGGAGGATCGGAGCTTCCTCTGGACAGTTCAATTTTGACAACTTGTGACGGTTTAATGTTGTTGACACGTGTTTAAGCATCTTGCGTCTGATTCCAGTTAGGAGTGATTTGGGGGGAGTGGATTAAAACTCACATATCAGCTTTTAACTCATTTGTATTTTGAGATTTTTTTAAGTTAAAATGGTTATAAAAAATAAAATAGATGTTTTAGATATTTTAACTCAATAAAATAAAATATTACATCCAATCTATCATTATTAGATTCTTACTCTCATAAAAAAGTTAAAAAAAAATTAAAAATCCTTCTTAAACTAAACTTGTTAACTTCAGACTAAAATAACTAAAAAATTAAAAAGTTAATCCACTTCTCTAAACGAAGGCAAAGTAGCCTTAACCATATTTTCAAAACACCCCTTAGAGCATCTCCAATCGTTCATTTCTTTTTTCACCAAATCTAAGTAAAAAATATGTTATTTTCTCAATTTGATACGACTTCCTCCAACGGTGAGTATCAAACATGTCGAACAAAATATATGCAGAATTGAGGGAAGGGCCGACCGGTAAGACTAATTTTTTTTTTTTTTACCTATTTGAACCTTTCGACGTGTTTGAGCCTATCTATTTGAAAGGGAACCGGTCGGCCAGTTGGTCTCCCCCAACAGTAGCGCACAGTAAAGTAGTGAAATCTGTAGCCTGTTCTCACTTTGATAAACTTTTTGTTCCATTCTCATTTTGATACCAATTTGCTGAAACCATTAAAGCTCCAAAAAGTGACTTTTTCACCAAATTTCAAATTTGATGTAAAGTTTGGTGAACCGTTTGAGATGACCTTAGATGGGAGGGAAGTACAATGTACTCCACACCACTCTCTATGTTATTTTATAATTAAAAAATAATTACGTTACCAAATAATTATTAAATTATAATTAAAATTTTATCATAATTAATATTATAATATATCAGATTATATATATATATATATATATAAGTTTTTTCCTCTTTTAAGTAGCACATTAAAAGGTTTACTTCTTCTTTAAAAAAAAAAAAGGTCACATTAATATATATTTTTCATTTGTTATACGATTTTATACAAATTCAAACTCAATTTAAATTATACTATTAGTAACTTTATCCATTTTATATAGATTTTATCTCACAAATATTTATTTCTCATATATTTTTTATCATAAATTTAGATAATTCACAAACTCAATGTCAATTTTATATGTACTCTATTTGACAAGTACTTCTTGTACAAACCTAATTTGAATTTTACACGAAATCTAACTATAATGGATTATACTCGATTGTACAAATTCTTTTTACATTATTTTATATAATTACAACAATTTATACTTTGATTATTGTATACTTTAATGATTGTACATTATTTTATATACTCTTGAAGAACCTCTGAAATTTGAATTTACTGGTTGATTTAATTTTTCAATTGCTAAACAATAAATTCTTTTATATTTTGACATCATATTATAAATGATTAATCACTTTACACACTGAGATGTATCTATTGTTTAGAGTTTTCAATTTTTTTTTTTTTTAAAAGGGAGACAGTAATATTTTTATGAAAAATGATTTGTAGCTCGAAACTGTAACCCCCAAATGGCCCAAATGTGTTGCCACTCTCTCTCTCCATTTTGTCTCTCCTCTCTATTTCCATCTCTCTCTATTAGACCCAAATCCCTAAAATCGATCTCCTCTCAAACGTAGACACTGCCTCAAAGCTCTCTCTCAAAGAGCTTCGTCTTTGTCAAATCAATGCCGGAGCTGTCAAAGCCCACAAATTGGTAGCTTCATCTCCGACGTCGAAGCCACCAAAGCCCTCATCTCTTTCGTCTCTGGGTTTGGTGAAGATTTGCAAATACATTTGGATTTGTATGATATTTCTCCCCTGCAAATTTGCCTCTCATCTTCTCTCTCTATATCTATATATATATATATATATATCTATTTATGTGTATGAATGATAAGTGCAAGAGAGGAGAAGAAGACAAAGGGGTCTTGGGTTTGGATTTAAATTCGAAGGATAAAAAGAAAATATGATTTTTTTTAAGATTCATAGCACAAAGAACAAAACTTGATGGATATACAACTATATGTGAAGAGAAAGACTGAGTGTGATTTTTTTTATTTTAGATTCATAGCAGAAAGAACAAAGCTTGATGGGTATACAAAACTTTCATAGTGAGAGTGAAAACAAAGACTGATCAAAATTGAATATTGATTCTCTCTATTTTTGGTTTATATGATCTTTCTTTCTCTCTCTCTTTCTCTTTCTCTCTTTATGTGATGGGTTGAAAAAATTATGTTGGTGAAAGAACAATGAAGATGAAGAGAGCTACTTTTAAGGTTGGGATTAATGGTGGATTTTGAGGAAACAAAGATGGTGGTCCTCTCTCTCTCTCTCTCTCTTCTCTTTCTTTATTTTGAAAATGTGTGAGTTTCAGGCATGATTGAGGCAATTGAGTCAAAAGTAAAAAATGGGATGCAACACATTCGGGCCATTCGGGGAGGCAAGGTTTCGAGCTATATAGCAAAACTGTATGAGATTTTAGGAAAATGTCTCGTAGCTCAAATTTTGTGGCTCAAAAGTGGCTCAAATGGTCAAAACGACGTCGTTTTGGCCATTTTTATGTTGTTCTGTACTCAAAACGACGTCGTTTTGGCCATTTGAGCCACTTTTGAGCCACAAAATTTGAGCTACGTAGCATTGTCGGAGATTTTATTCACCCAACAGTTGTTATGAGATTTTTTTTCTTGGTTAATCGTTGGTAAATTTATTTTATATAGTTGATAATTTAATTTAATTAAGAGGGTGTATTTTACAATCTTATAATTTAATATATATCATATAAAATCATTATATGATAATTCAACTACAACATATTTATATTTAATTTTTTCAATAAAATTTTATGTAGTTTTTATTTCTACATATTTTTATTTTTCAAATGAATGTAAAAGAAAATTAAATAGTTAGAATTATTTTGAATTTTATATTACAACTTTGATTTTAATTTAACTATTAGTTTAGGATGGTATAAGCTTTTTACATACGGGTCGGAACATATTTATGTGTAAAGAATCTTATATAATAATTTTTATAATACAGTAAAACTAAAATTATCAAAATACACAAATAATTTAACTAAAATTAATATATATATAAGTATTCAAGTAACACTTTTATAAAACGATAGAGCTAATATTTCAAAATAAATAATAAAAATCATACTTTAATTTTAATTTTAAATTAAAATTAAAATTATTCTCTTATAATACACAAATCGTACCATCAAATATTTTTTTAAAAAAAAAATAATAAGTGCATTACACAAGTCAACTGCTAGTTATAACTAATAATACAATAAATCATAATTATTTATTCAAAGACTATAAAGGTACATATAATATACACCCTAGAGAAAGAGGTGCCTAGCATAGAATTTCCCCATATGGAGATCATCTTAAATTTATTAAGAAAAAAAAAGGGTATAGCTCTAGTACACATAAGCAAGTTATGTCATTTATGAATTTGATTGTCACAAATGACATAACTCAATACTGCAAGGGTATGTTTGATTGGAAGGATTAAAGCATGGAATTAGGATTATTAATCCGTGGGCCCAATCATCCTATGTTTGTTTTGACATTTTGATTTAGGACTATTAATCTAATGGATAATTAATCCAACAAATTTGTAGGATTATTAGTAATGGGGTAGTGGTGGGATAGTTAATACCACACTAATTTAATAGGATTATTAATACCTCACTATTAGTATTGTGAATCAAACATGACCCAAGAGTCATGACATTAAAAAATAATTGAGTTATCACTAAACATTACATGAGATATAACCAACAATTCTTGGATTGTAACTAAAATAATGCCACAATCAATATAATAATATGTCATAACTAACAACACAATAGGTCATAGCCAAAGATATGAAAGTCGTAATAAAAGTGCATATGGTACACACTCCAAAATTTTCCAAAATAAAATTATATAAAAATATTAAAAACAAAATTGTAATAGAAACAATTTAATTATCACATCATTTTGTAAAAAAAATTATATATTTGTTGGCTTTTTGGCTTTCGAAGGTTATTATTGTAATTGCGAGTGTGCCAGCAAGGATCAATCAGTCCTTACAGAAATTTAATGGCCAACCAATTATCAGACGATTGTTTTTTAGTTCTCTAAGCCTCAATGAAGAGGACTTTTACTGGTAGCTTGATTTAGGAGAATTAAGCAAAATACTAATCAAATAAAGAACAGCTGAAACATTTCATTAAAATGAAAAACTTACAATGATTCAAACTCAGCCTCGTAGAAGTTTACAGCGACAATCTACTTGAGACTACTCCTATGAATGAAGTGCAGTGCAGAATTTAAAGTACTGGAATATAAAGAACAGGAATGTAAAGAACAGAAAAATGTAAAACTAAGTAAAGTAGAATAAGACTGGTTTTTTAGATCTGAGTCCGGGGGCTTTTTCTGGGACCTTCTCTGCTATTTATACTACTCGAGGATGACCATCGAACTGTATTTCCAACCGTCGAACTGCTCCTCCATGATCGCTGATCATGTTGTCTCAAAATTAGCTCCATTACGCCATTACTTGCAGTTAGGCTTCCTTCCTAAATTTGAATTTTGAATGTGAGTAACCGTTGATGTCACATCACCTTGTATCTCTTTCGTTGATCCACTGCTACTCAGATCTCGTAACAACCAATACTAATTGCCACGTGTACGATCAGGA